TATTTTGCAATAGGCTGTTTGAATTTCATCATTGTAAATTGTATAGAAGTATGTTATTTTAAGTAATATTTATTAGTGATATTCAATTTTTGTTAAAAAGATACTTTTATTTTCTGTTACATAACAAGTTAAAGTTAAGTTTTAATTTTTAAGAAAATGATCGTCACAGGCAGCGGCGACCTTGTAATCAGTTAAGTGGAAGACTGGACTCACTGATAAGATACTGATAAGTTTCTTTGTACACTGGCCACATGTACTGGATAAAGTGGCCAGTTAATTTCCAAGCCAATTTTGTATCTACTGTATGTTTTTATTGGAGGAAATAAATTCATTATTTCATTATTTCATTATTTCATTTTGTACTTTTATCAAAGTTTCTCAGGGATGGGTTCATTGCCACGTGGCTGATTTTATCCTAACTGTAGAATGTGTGAAATGTGAGATATAATGTTAAGTTATACAGAGCCACTACGTGTAAGTGTTATTTGGTCGCAGCACTCTTAAAATAAGGTGCCAGACCGAATGTGCGTGAGTGTTGAGTGTTAAAGCCGCAGCACCAGCGGTCTGCCGGGGCCTGACAAATGCTTTGTGTGTATTCTAATTTCTATCCTACTTACTTATCTAATTCTAATTACCTTATTAATATTTCAAATGAGTACACAATTGGGACTGACCTTATTCCTTTTTTTATTTTCTTTCACAAATACAAACTGGATTACAATTAATTATTGTTTTATTTGCGCCTGACAAATGGTTTACACCCGCAGCGCCTGTATGAGTGACTGACTGTCAACTCACTCACTAGTAGTGAAGACTGGTCCGTGGACTGCTGTATTTATACCCGATTTGGTTGCTATGGAGACCATGGAATGTTCTAGAACTTTAAACCCAGATGTTTCCACCAAAAGTTAACTTCCTTTTCCAGCAGCCTGACGTCAGCGCTGCCCACTTGATCGTCGTTGATCCATCAACTGCTGTCGGCTGGAGCTCGAGCTGTCAGAGAAGCTATTGTAGACTAATAAACAAACATTCAAACAAATGTAATAAATAAATATGTTTTAATTATTTAGTTAGTTGTTATATTTACATGTTTATCCCTTTGTGTGTGAAATAAAATAGTAATGTACATTTATAACTGTTATTGTGTTGCTGAAATATTTACAATGGGTAACCTAACCTAAATACGGTAAGTGGGTAAGCTAACCTAGGTACGGTAAGGGGGTAGAAATATTCTTGATTACCACTATTTACAAAATAAACTATTAGAAACATTATTACATTAGTAATTTAAAGAACATTAAGAAATATTTAAACTATGAAAAATGCGAGATAGGCCTACTTGTATTACAATTGAACTAACAAAAACCTAACCTAGCCTTGGCATAACATAGTCTACAATGGTTAAATTAAATTGAAACATTACAGTCTCAAATGTACAAAAACTTAACCTAATGTTTAGCAAACGGATTTTGATAGTTTAATATGTTTACCTACTACCGTTTTTTTTTAATTAGCCGTTTCAGTTCAGTTCTTAGAATTAAATAGATTCACTTAACAGCATTGTTTACTTACTTAACAGCATTGTTTTACTTAACAACACGAGTAACGGACCATGTCATTAACACTATATTTACGTGATCGTTGCTTAAATTACTGTTACAACAAAAATATTTTATGCGTACATCATAAATATTTGCCTTTTGTTGTTTAAAATCACTACCATGATCTAAACAACAGGGTTTATGAGCTTATATCAGTTTTGACATCCAAATAATTGAGGGCCGAAGTTGTATTAAAAGCTGCGATATACTTATTTCTCTATTTTAGAATGAGGTGATCTACGCCAAATGTTTTAGTTCGCCCGACTAATATCTCTGTATGTTTTATCTCATAGTTGTAGAAAGGTAAAAATCACTTATCTGTTGAAATTTGACATGTGACTTTAATAGTTTCTGGCCATTTAAAAACATTTGTAATTCGTTCTATTTGAAAACAAAGCAACATTACTGCCTTTTAATAAATAACAGCCGTTAAATACTAAAGGTTATCTAAAGATAGTATGCTGATGGTTACGATTAATATTATCAACTATTATACTAATTTTATTACTAAATATCCAATAATTTCACCATAAGCAATATTCTAAAATAAACAAAAAAACGGATTGACACCATCGTGCCGTTGAGGGTAGGGGCCGTTGAAGTCCAGACCGTTCGTTCTGCCAAGTACCTTGGGATTATGGTGGACAGCAAGCTTAGCTGGCGGGATCAGATTTTCCGTACGGCGGACAAAGCCGCTAGGGTGGTCTCCTCTCTTAGCCGGTTGATGGCCAATGTCGGAGGGCCTCGGTCCAGCCGTAGAAGGCTGTTAATGTCTTCTGTCCAGTCTGTGCTCTTGTACGGTGCTGAGGTGTGGGCAGACGCTCTCAATAAGGAGGTATATAGGATGCGGCTTGCCCGAGTGCAGCGTCAGGCAGCACTAAGAGTTGCATCCGCCTACCGAACAGTGTCCGAACCCGCCGTCCTGGTGGTTGCTGGAGTCATCCCCGTCAAACTTTTGGCGGCGGAGAGAAAAGCAATTTATCAGCGCCGTGGGGAGGACCAGGCACGAACAGAAGAACGCACCCGCACCTACCAGCTGTGGCAGGAGAGCTGGGAACAGGAGACTCGTGGACGCTGGACCAGGCGACTGATAAAGCAAGTCCGACCTTGGGTTAATCGGCGGAGCGGAGAGGTGGACTTCTACCTCACCCAATTTCTGACGGGTCACGGCTTTTTCCGGTCGTACCTGTTCAGGATGGGCAAAGCCGTGTCACCCGATTGCATATACTGCCCAGGCATTCCCGATGACGTGGAACATACCTTTTTCCACTGCCAGCGTTGGGAAAGGCCCCGCCTGGAGCCTCAACAGTTAGTAGGACTGCTGTCGGTGGACACGGTCATACCGATGATGACGGAGGGTGAGGACAATTGGACCTGTGTGTCACATTACATCCAGGGTATTCTCCGCGCCAAGAAGCTCGACCTTGACCGGGATGCGGTGTAGGTCATAAAGTATCCAAATGCCATAAACGGTGAGAGCCCTGAGGGCTTAGGTAACATGTTGGCCTGACTTGAAGTAATGTGACAAACAATTCCAGGTCTGTGTCCAACAGAGTAGGGGGGTTTTTTAGTGAGTAGTCTGCGATAGATTCAGGAGTCTCACACTACAGGCTGGCTACCTGTGTGCGTAAAAGCATTTTCCCTCCTCTCCCTTAGAAAAAAAAAAAAAAATATTCTAAAATAAATCTCATACTATCCAGATCACAGGCCTTAGTGTTAATGCCCTGACCACGTGACAGTTGGTTGGAGTTAATCAGGGACAGAAACAGTCTTGGATCTCACAATCACCATCACTTGGCAGGGTGCATTGTATAAATTTATAGATTTTCGTGATTTAAATAAAATCACTTTTACACACATTCTTGTGTTTTTTTTTTTATTTGAGAAAATATACTGGCTTTCCCATCACTTATGATTTTAAAACCACTTAAATACATAACTGATGAAAACTAGTTAAGATTTTACCCCATCCATCATCTATATATAAAATAGGCAAGCACGATATTTGTCTGCAGAACTCCTCCTTGGTTTCTTGACAGATTTTGTTAGTTTATGGCTCATTGGAAGGATCTCATTGAGTAGATGTCATATAAATCCTCATATGTCGAAAAAGTCCCCTGGGCTCTGTCTCAGTGGCTTTTTAAGTTACTATGTTATCATTGTTTGTTTACATTATGATCAGCTGGATAATTTAATTGTTGTAAACATTTTAAGTTGTAATCAACAGTGAACGAGAATTTTAGCCGAAGAGCTACAATTTCGTGGACTTTTTACAGGTAAATATAATTGATGCCTCATTACATCAACTAACCAAAAAAATCTATTTGAAGCAAATAAAATTCAGCTGATAAAATAGTCGCAGACAGGTTATGCAGGAAATCAGGTAGTACTTGAGTAATTTGAAAAATCGTCATCGCTATTATAAAGTTAGTGAATTTTGCAACGAAGAGACTGCAAACGACGATTACTGGCGATAATGGTGTTGCCATGGAGGCTACTTTATCGATGATGAAGATAACAATATTGACAACTTTATGCGGATATGGGTAATTCGGGATCTATTTGTAGAAAATACTAAAAAGCAAGGTCAGCTTCTGAAAAAAAATATTTTCAAGATATTTTGATTATATTGTATTGTTATAAGCAGTTGACAATTGACAATTGAATGATTTCGAGCAACAAGTAAACTAGTTTAAAGTAAATATGCTTTCAATTAATTTAAATACTTGTATTTTTCACAAATGTCATTCTGTATATTTAAAGTTTAATTTTTCTGTAAATTGTGTTTGTACTACGCCAAATACTGTATGGAAATGTTTGTAAGCGTTTAATCCGTTAGACGACAGCATTGATCTATGCTCGTAATTAAAAGTTAAATAGGGGGTTTTATTGCTGGACACATTTGATCTGCAATTTACTAGCTCGGTCCGGTTTTTCATAGTCGATATTGCATTCTCATTATTGCGTTTTGTACATTATTTAATTATAAAACAGTTCTATTTTTAAAATGGTTAGTGCAGTCCACATTGATAACCTTTATTGCAGTCGATGTAAATAATAGATTAGTATTTTGAGTTGAAATTTCCTATTACTTCCATTAACTAAACGCCTAGATTGTACTTTTATTTTAAATCTGTGGTTATGAACATTATTTTTATAGTTGGCAGCACGTAAGTTTGCAGTTGGTGGCAGCCAAGGACAAGGCTAGTGCGACGTTGCCACATCGTCCTTTGACAATGTGGGAAAATAAAACTCTTCAGAACTTTCTACAACTTAGTTATATTTTACACTTAAAAAAAACTGGACAACAAAACGAACCTTCTCTAAACATTAATTCAACTCAACACCCATTAGTCACCATGACAACCGAAATATCCAAAATCGTAAACATAAAGGACACTAGTCAGCTGATGCTAGTTCACAGCTACACGCCCCCGTGGTGTCAACACCACCACATGCCCTCGAGGTGCCGACACAACTTACACTTTCATTTTTACTTTCAACTACTTTTTGCACATCTGCTATGTGATGAGGCCTGCCATTTACTTCAACACTTCTGGGTGAAAACTGTCCAGTAACCACTCCTTCCTTCCATCTCGAAGTACAGGATGGGTTTGGCGGCTTGACATACACACGTTCACCTACTGTAAAATGTGACCCTTCATACACTTCACCTTTTACAGGTTCACCTTTACATCGCCATTGGTACGAAAAAATCTGGGAACTCGGCGATGAATCGCCACATAATCCTTCTTTAGGTGTCAAATTGTACCAATAGACCATTTCTTGGATACTCCCTTTAGTTCTTGCGGCCATACGCTTGATTGTTCTGTGGTTTCGCTCAACTATCCCGTTTCCACTTGGCCGGTTGACACACCTAAACACAACTTTAATACCCCATTTATCACAGAGCTGAGTAATCTCTTCGCATCGAAATGTTGCACTATTGTCCATCAAAATCTCATGTGGTGGCCCTCGATCAGTAAACAATTCCAAAAACACTTTAGAAATCTGATCTTTCGTCTCTTTTGGGATCCTGCGCCAAATGCAGAACCTACTTGGACCACAGTCCACAATGGTCATGAACTTGCTTTGACCATAGTGTGTTACGTCAATGGCAAGCCTATACCAATTGTTCTGGCAATCCAAATACCCAGGCTCCCATTTGATGCTGGATGGATCAATTGACAGACACTCTTTACAACTTTTCACAACTTCTTCAACAACTTTTGTGGTAAAGTTAATGTCTGGGTGACACCGTCTGGCGGTGAATAAAGTACGGTTAACACCAAAATGATGCAAGTCATGAACCTGTTTCACCAATGTCTTTTGGTCCACACTCTCATTCTCATACACAAGTGCAATGCTAGTCTCTTCGTTTCTTGCTAACCATTTTCTTGGCACTCTTGTAAGAAGATCTGCTTTGTTGAACTGTGACTTAATGAGTTCTATTTGTACATTGAGACCGCATTCCAAAATAATGTCTTTAAATAGGCTTAATCGTCTTCTAACCAAAACTTCACTTAACCCATGTGTTTTGATAGGACGGTCCCCCGTCAGTATAGATGACACCCAAGCATGAACTGTCGCTGAATCCGTGATTAATACGATCTTCTTTAACCCCCAACGCAGGGCCAAATTTACTCCTTTTAGGATAGCTTCCAATTCTGCTAAATTGATATGTGCTGAATCATGCTGCTTCCTCAGCCACGAAGCATCTTCGACTATCTCACCTTCAATTTCTAGACAAACTCCGATCGCTAGACTGCTTGCGTCACACCACACTTTTCCTTCTTCTCCAGGGGACACAGCCCGTTTGCCAGTGGCTGGGTCTCTTTCATCGATTCGATCCATAATATTTGTTAACATAGTTTGCGCACGTTCACTGATCAAATCGTCCCACTTCAGATCCGACAAATGTCTCTTAACGAAACTACATGCAGGTCGAAGCCAGCTTGCTACTGGATAGTGTCCAATCAATTGCCCACACAACGAGAAAACATCTTTCTTTGTTTTAACTTGGTCCAAAGGTTTTAATTTGTTATCTCTGTACCACATTAGCTTACATCCTGCTCTTCTCAGCCTTAGTCTTAATACTCTGCCTCCATCAAGCGTTTCTGCCGGCTTTGCTGTCAAACCATATGTTTCCAACAATCTAATCACAACATCACTACTGACGATTTCTTTATTAACGACGATGTCATCGACATATGAATCTGTGGCACTCCTAACTATCGGATCCATCGATAAAACCTTGTTAACAATACTGCTCATAATCTTTGGGGCAACGTTTAACCCAAACCCAAGTCGAGTTAAACAATAGTTTTCACCCTTAAATTTGACAACTTGAAATTTCCACAAATGTGGAGCAATATGAATTTGCAAGTACGCTTTACGAAGATCAACTGTACTCACATGTTCACCCAATCGTCTCCACAATCTTAACTTTTCACTACAAACCTCACTTCCAGCTGTATGGCTTGAAACGAATTGGTTAAGTTCTCTATAGTCCATTACAGGCCGCACTTTATCCTTATTTTGCTGTATGACAGCCATCAAAGGAATCACACCTTCAAACTCTCCATGATAGGGCTGCAGCCAACCACTTTTTATTTATTCTTCAACTTCAGTTTCGAAGGCTTCGGTAGCATTCTCAGGAATTCTGTACATTTTTACTTGATTTTCCAACATAGGCAGTCTGTTCACATCCTTCCAATTCCATTCCACTGTCCATTTTCCATCTAAAAATTCTGCCTTAAAATCACAGTCTTCAATAATGATTTTCTCTGCAGATTTCTTATCAATATTAATTTCTTGCTTGGATTCGATCTCCCTGATGATTTTCTGGTCACCGTCACCCTTTTGCTCAGATTCAGCCACTGCTCCAGTACACAAACCCTTTTTAAATTCTACGCCACCATCCCCCTGAATCGTAACTCCACCCATTGCAGAAATCGCATCCATTCCTAATAGCACCTGATAGTTTAGCAATAATCGAGCAACTAAACAGTTTAATGATAGGTTAATCCCACTAACTGACACCTTTGTCTCACACATTAAGTTACAGTCTACTACGTCCCCGTTCATCATTACCACTCGTTGACTTGTGGGCCTTATTAGTTTCTTAGACCTGACAAGACTCGGGTGAGATAATAGTTCTTGAACACCCCGTATCTAATAATGCACAGCACTTAGTTCCAGCAACAGTTACCATCAACGTCGGCAGTTGTGGTTGCGCAGTCAAACAAGGATAGCCACCCGCGCAACAAAGGGTGGCCCCTTTTACTCGTTTTTTTGAGCCTGTGAACACTTTGGAGCATAATGTCCTGCTTCTCCACAGCGGAAACAAATTACATTCGAGGTGCTACTCGGCTTTCTTTGTGGGCATGATCTTGCTAGATGTCCTTCCGAGTTACAGATAAAACATTGTTTACTATACTGTCTTTTATTTACGGACACTTCCATCTGAGCGGCGGCTCCAACATTGGATTCACTTCCATTCACTAAACTTCTCGCCCTTTCTAACACTTTTGACAGCTCCATGTCTTGCAAACAACATGCCGCCTTTAACTGATTTTGAACTTCTCTGGGTAGTCCGTGAACAAAAGAACTCTTTATCCACTCGTCAGAAACTGAAGAATCTATTAATTTAGCCAACCTTTTCAAATCAGATGCGTAGACATCAACAGATTCTCCTGGAAGCAAACGTCTGGATATGAACTCCTCATACGCTTGGAAACAGTTAGCAGAGAAAGCCTGCTGCAAAGCTTGGGTCAGGGCGGAGTAATCACTCTTAACTGCGTCGGTAAGCCCATCGTAGACGGCAATTGCTCCTCCAGACAAAAACAAGGGAAGCACTGATTGTAGTTCTTTAACCTTCTGAAGTTTACATACAGGCTCTAACTTTTTCAGCCATTCCGAGAAGTCTCCTTCGCCATCATACAACTTTACCAAATCCGAAAATCTTGTACCGTTTCCAGACATGCCGAAATAGCTTGTGGGAAAATAAAACTCTTCAGAACTTTCTACAACTTAGTTATATTTAACACTAAAAAAAAAAAACAGGACAACAAAACGAACCTTCTCTAAACATTAATTCAACTCAACACCCATTAGTCACCATGACAACCGAAATATCCAAAATCGTAAACATAAAGGACACTAGTCAGCTGATGCTAGTTCACAGCTACAGACAACACTAATTAAAATATACTATGAAATATTTTCAAATCAGCTGGTATTATTAGATTTGGCAACACCGAACGGTTCTCATTGGCTCATTCAAAACCATATGATAAATAGGCTCCTCCCTCAACTGCAAACTTACGTGGTCCCGACTGTAAATACATATACTCACATTTATAATAAAAGGTTGTGATGCCACTAGTTAGTGATGCCACAGTTCATCGCATATGTTTGTGTATATTTAAATTGTTTGTTTATTATTTTAGTAGCCCTAGCAACCTAGGCTACATAGTTGACTGTTTAACAATCTAGTGGATTACTCAATTTCTTTCTTTGTAAAATTAAATAACATTTTTACCAATTTCACCAGGACGAATCATTTTAGTGCGCTCATCCGCTAGAAATGGTGACCCCGGACTAACAAGTTCATTATTTAATACTAAATTCAAGATGTCCAACACTAAATTTCAACCTTCAAGCAATATTTCAATTATTCTTCACTTTTCTCCACATCATCATTTTACATTATGGACCAAGATCTTTTGGATCGCCTGTCCCAGTTAGATAATGAAAATGCCACTCTACAACTACAATATCGACTACAGATGCTTAATCAAAGACAGGAACTGCATACACAATGACAGGAACTGCATCCTCAACGACAGAACTGCATCCTCAACAATAGGAAATACATCCTCAACGACAGAAACTGCATCCTCAACGACAGCAGATGAATCATCAACAAAAGGAAATACATCCTCCACAACAGGGCAGCCACTTCTCAACAGCTACCCAACAAAGTGACTTCCCAGCAACCACACAAACAAGCTGCTTCCCAGAATAAACCACCCACAGTATTTTTTTTTTTCATCAGCGAACACCTAAAGCAACAGCTTTCCTGCACAATTGCCTTAACCGATTGCTTTGTAGCAACGGCACCAAAAAACCGAAAGTTCCTTATCTTCCAGACTCCGCAGGTGGCTAATGTGGTGCCACTACACTGCCACAATTATTTCAATCACCACATATCCTTTGTGCATATTTAAGTTGTTTGTTAATTATTTTAGTAGCCCTAGAAACCCAAGCTACAGAGTTGACTGTTTAACAATCTAGTGTATGTCATGCAATTTCTTTATTTGTAAAATAAAATTACATTTTTACCTGAACCTGAAATCATTTTAGTTCACCCATCCGCTAGAAGGTTTTATGTTATATGTTTTGTTTACCTTTTATAGTTTACAATTGATTCCAAATTGGTGTTCAAAATTATGTTAGAATAGATAAACATTTCATTTAATTTTTTTATAAAACAACATTGAGTATGGACTGTGCTATAGCAGGTGCACAAGTTTGTCAAGAAATATTTTTTTCATTTGGACTTACATGGACTTAACCATAAACATATGGTTTGAATTTAAATTAAAATTAGTCCCAGTTGTTGCCTAGCAACAAGATAGTTGGTGTGTTTTGTTTTTTGAGCTTAGGATTCATGGACAAGAGTTTAACTAATATTTTATTGTTCAAATAAAGTCAGTTCTATAACTGTGTGTTCCTCACTTCTATAACAATAAAAGTAAAAACCCAAAATAAAAACTCAACAGGTCATGGGGCCCAGGCAGAAATAGAAGTGAGGCTTGAAACATATTAAAAATAAATCAAGAAAGGGATTGTTGTTTGTAAGTATCAAGTTGATAAGTTAGTTGATAAAATGTTTTATTCAAGAATTGTCTGAAAGAAGAATTTTGCTAATTTTAAAAGTAGGACGAGTTAAAATCAGAAATGGCTATAAATGGGAATGAAACCATAGAAAAATTGGTTGATTAAGAGTCATTTAAATTTTGGAAATTCCAAACAACAGTTATTTTAAAATCATATGGCATACATGAAGTAGTAACAGGAGAAGAAAAGTATGAAGACCAAGACAATGAAATAAAAGAACAAAGTGGAAGAAGAAAGACCCAACAGCACAAAAACTTATTGTTACATCCATAGATTAAAAGTATTTGGTTCATATTTTGAATGATGAGACTTCACAAGGTATGTATACTAAGCTATGCCAGATATTCGAAAGACAGGCTTAACAACAAAAATGTAACTTACTTCAAGAGTTATTCAATTTCAAATTAGAACAAAATTCAGATGTGACTAGTTTCATTGCTAGCTTGCAAAACATGGCAGATAAATTGAAAAGCTTAAATCAAAACATTGATGATGACATGTTGATGTCTAAGATTTTGGCATCCTTGCCAGATAAGTTCAAAAATCTCGTAACATCCTGGGAGTCTACAGCTAAAACAGATAGAACCCTGTCAAATTTAACTTCACGGGTACTAGCAGAGGAAATAAGATGTAAAAACAGTGACACTGAGGATACGGTAGCTTTCAAAAGTAAATGTAACAAAGGAAAGGGATACCAAACTTCTAAATTCCAAAATTTCAACAAAAGTAAAACTGATTTTAGACAACCCAACACTGAGAGGAGATGTTTCATTTGTAACAAGCGAGGACATCTTGATAATACATGTTCTAGTAAAAAGATAGCTGGATGTTCTATTTGTAAAAAGAGGAATTACACAGACAAGGACTGCTATTTTCGAAAAATTAAAAAAGATAAAGGAAAATTTTCATTTTTGAGATGTGATAACGATATTGAGAGGACTTTACGTGAGAGTATCTTTTTTGTAGACTCAGGATGCACGTCTTACATGACAAATGATTGTTCATTGTTAAGTGACCTAGAGTTTAATAAAAGTGATATAATGGTTTCGAAAAACAATAAATCAATCAAGTCTGTAGGTAAGGGAAAAAATTGAGTGATCTGAGTTCAATCTAAAAGAAGTGTTTTATGTTACTGATCTGTCAGACAATTTGTTGTCAGTAAACGCAATGACAGAAAAAGCAGGAGAAGTCATGTTTTCTAATGAAAAGGTTGTAATAAGTAAAAACAATATTAATGTATGTGAGGGAAATAAACAATCCAATGGATTATATTTGGTGAGTCTAAAAGTGGATTATCATAAATCTAAGAACAGTTCCATGCTGGCGTTTGGAAATCCATA